ATAGAAAATTTTCAAAAAATGTCTCTTTTCAAATGTCACTTTACAAAATGCCATTTTTTTACAATTTTTACAAAATACCATTTTTTCAAAATTATTTATTCATTATATTATTTATGTTTGGGTTAACTATATTTGTATTAGGGTTTAGTTTTGAGGATTTAAGAATTTTAAGGGTTTAAGGGTTTTAAGGGGTCAAAAGATTTTTTAGGGTTTATAATTTTAAGATTTAAGCTCTCAAAAATCAAAATTAGTGACATTTTTATAAATATGGACACAAAATATGGTATTTTTGTAAATGTCTCTTATATATATACTAGTCATAAGTTATAACAACATTTTTATTCAATTATTCTTATATTAAATTATTATTTTATTATAATACTAGTTAACAAATAGAAAAATAAACTAATATTAAATATTAGGTGTTAGTTTAATATAAATATATTTATAAAATTATAACATAATTTTTTAATAATATTTTTAAATTTAAATTATATTTAACTAAATTTTATTGTTTTATTTTGATATTATTTTAAAATAATAAAACCAATAAAATAATAGACATTTACAAAAATGCCACCTTTTGTGTACATATTTGCAACAATGCCACTTAGAGGTGTCTATTTGCAAAAATGCCACTAATTATAGATTTATAAAGCCTATATCTTAAAATTTTAATCCCTAAAAAATGTTTTGATCATTAAAACTCTCTGAACCCTCATAACTAAACTCTAATAAAACATAATTAACCCAAATATAAATAATATAAAGAAAAAATAATTTTGAAAAAATGGTATTTTTGTAAAGATTTCAAAAATATGGTATTTTTGTAAAATGGTACTTGAAAAGTGGCATTTTTTTAAATTTCTCATAAATAATGATAAATATTAAATAAAATAAATAAAATTTAATCTAATATTTTTTTGATCTTATATATAAAAAGATTAGTTATTCAATATTTTTTAAAAATATTTTTTAATAATAGCATAGGTCAAAACTCAAGAAAAACTTTATTTAGGAGCATTGAGGGTAGAAGTATTTAGAAAGCATTACCATTTACTAAACGCTATGTTGAATGCTTTGTCTATCAATCAAATTTTTATGATAAACCTTAACCAAAAAGAGGTAAAAAAAAACAGTCTAGCAATTCCGTTTTGTTAATGAACCGAGAGAATTTGTCAGAATATTTATTAACATGGGTTGACTGCCAATTTTTTTGATAAACTCCTGGAAGCTTTTTGCTTATTAGCTCTTCGGTACTCCATTTAAATATTCTGATTTAAAAATTCATGCAAGTTTCAAAAGAGTTTTGATTTACGGACATAAAAAAAACATATCTTTTATGTTACCATTAGACCACCACAAATTTAGTACTGGGATAAATTATTCTAAGATATATTCTTACAATCCAATTTTTTTGTATTCATCACTACATCGGATAGTACACACCCTCTAACTCTTAACAATTTTTTGTTTTTTTTAATTGAACGTAAAATTTATTCAAACCCAAAAAAATCTTTTTACAGCAAGTGCTTCGTGTTCTGAAAATTTATATTGTGAACAACAAAAGGAATTTTAGAGCGATTCATCGTAAGCCAAACCACAATTCCATGCCATCTTCGTATTGAGCATCTTCCATCTCTCGAATCGAAGATAATCTGTTTCGGATTTGCTTATCAATGTTTTGAGATAACTGCGAAGCCATTCTTGGCTTCTCGCCATGTCGTCGATTGTTGCGTTCTCGCCAAATCGAATGAAGGATGGTCTGGAAAGTATAACGCAAGAGAAACAAAAGAGTTTCATTTTGCGATGTATCCAATAACAACTCCAAAATCCTATCCCAATCCGAGGAGAAATTAGTCGTCAACAAATTGCGGACCAGTGTTCTCCATACTTCTTCAGAATAGCAACATGTGAAATAGAGGTGATGCCGAGTTTCCAGTGAGCTTTGGCAGAGTACACATAAGCCATCCAAACCTAAGTTCCATGTGACCATTCTCTCGCCCGTTGTTAACCTGTTATATATGGAAGGCCAACCATGTGTGAAATGCATATTTTAGGAGTAGCATAAGCAAACCAAACTCCCTTCGCCCACTCTTTAGTAGGGACTACCTCTCTTATCAATTTCCATGTCGTCTTGGAGTTGAACTTTTAACAATTTTATATATTCAATTAAACTCTTAAATCCCATTTAATGAACCACTAATCACATTTTCCAGAACTGCGATTAAGTAAATTTAAGATTAAAAACGTTAAGCCGACTAGAGAGAAAAAAAAACCTCTGAAATCAAACATGCTTTCCTCACGCTCTCCTTCAGCTTCATTTCATATTTCATTTTCACATCCTTCATCAACATCTTCGGGGGGTTTTTTTTTGGTCAACCAATATCTTCGGTTGCAACTTGATTTTCCAAAAGAGTATTCAGCAATCGCATTGGTAATTTTTTATAGAGGATTGTTTGGTTTATATGGCAAGATCTAGAATATTTATGTCTTTTAACTTTTTCACATTTTCTACCATTGTGTTTACTTAAAGTTATACTAGTCCAAAACTAATCAAAATTTTGAGATTGACAGCCACAAAAATAAAATATAATTTGAAGGGCAAAATAATACTAGAAGATAGATAACAAAAGTTGTATCAATTAATTGATAAAATCGTCGAAATCGTCGGGATTGGGTTTAGGAGAGGTTAACATTGCTGTATAGAGCCTCAATTTGTCTTCTCCTAATGAAGCACATCTCGACAACGGTCTCCTCGGCCTTATGAATGACAGTGACGTCAATGTTAACCTATGCTTGTACCTAATCACATCATCAAGAACCGTTTATTTTTCATGTTCGCACATTGAATTTGTATTTATATCTTCTATATATTAATTGAAGAGACACTAGGTGAAAAATCCTAAGTGTCATCTAAAAAAGATTTTAAGGAACTTC